AATATGTTGTGATACATAAAAACATTCCTATTCTTAGGAAATAAATACCTAAATATTTAGGTATTAAAGGCTACTAGATGGTTTACCCTCAATTGTATGTGTATGATATACATATATACTTATAACATTCTTTTATGATTCTAACCAACTAAAACACTAAGATTTTTCTACACAGGAGTTTGAAAGGCAAAAGACTCAAGTTTACAAAGCAGGTATGATTTTTCAACTCAATAGATAATTTTAATACTGAGGACATGAAGAACAGCTGAGTGTAAAGTAAAATTAGACCTTTACAATTTCCCAAGGCGTGTGGCCAGTACTAGCAGCAGCAGCATCTCTCAGTAGTCCCTCCTATAGAACTTGAGTGTTCAGTATGCTGCCAGCTTCCCTTACAGTTGGGGCTGGTTATGTGACAGCTGTGGCCAACGAGACAAGCAAATTATTTGTTAAGGGCTTCTGGCAAAACCTGTGTTTTCCTGTTAAAAGGGACAGGCAAAAGGAGACAATTCTGTCTTACCCCACCCCCATTACCCATCTCCTTTGTCATACATTTAATGTGATTGAGACACCTGGAGCAAAAGATAGCCATTAGAAAATAAAGACAAGAAGCTTAGATCTTTGCTGAAACTACTGAGCAGCTGAATAAGTGCCAGTAAATGTTTATTGCTGTACTTCTTTTTGTTGTTGTTTCTGAGACAGGATCTTGCTATGCAGTTCAAGGTAGCCTTGACCTCACTATTGGTCTAGACTGGCCTTGAGTTTGTGGTAATCCTCCTGCCTTTGCCTCCACTGTACTGGGATTAAAGGTGTGCCATTACACCCAGCTTGATGCACATCTTATTATAAGAAAAAAATAAATTATCTGGTTAAACTAGTGAGTCAGGTACTGGTTACTTACATAATTACTTATGCTTGCTTATTTAGGAAATGGAGAAAAGCAGAAGAAATACAAAAAAGAGAAAGAATCAGGCCATGCAGCACTGTGCAGAGGAAGCAATTCCAGAATAAATACATACTTAAAACTTAGACCAAATGGCACTGGTAAATTTTCAAACAATGCCAAGAAGTAACAATTTTCGTTAACAGCGGTTAAAATAAAGAACTTCTACAAGAGTAAGTACTCTACAGTGATTTAAAACCAGGAAAGGTCAAGACATTCTCTAATAAGATGGGTTTCAATGCAAACATCATTTCTGGGTGTTGAGCCAACATGTATGTTACTGCCAAATTCCTAATTCAAAACCATATATAACAATGCTTTAACTGAAACACAGAAGTTAAAAATAAGACATTTAAATAGTAATTTCCCTACTCTCTCAAAGATAAATGTGCCATTAACCCTGTATGTTAATAGATTTCTTTCTTACACTGTACAAGACAATTTTTTAAAGCTTTTCACAAGGAAGTCACCATGAAAAAACTATAGGCAATTTGTTCCTGATCAGTTCCTTCACTGAATTAAAATATAATCAGGTTCGCAAGTTTTAAATGAAAATATTAAAACGTGTATTAAATCCCTCTACATAAGATGCCATGCAAACATGGGTCAGTGAGGGATGGCTGGAAGCAACAAAACATAAGACAACACATATCTTTTTGTAGAGCCTAACACATAGTTAGGCCCGGAGGAGATAAATGTAAAAAGTTAAATGAAATGTTTCAATAATAGTTGTAGACAATAGGAGATGTCATAAAACAGAGTACGATTCATTGCCAAAAACATTGTTGCTGACAATCTTGCTGCTGCAGCATTTCAAAGCAGAAAAAATTTACCTTAGGCCTAGATGATCTAGGGAAATTTTACAGAAACCAAATCTCAGCTTAGAAACCTGTGGATAGTCAAAGAAAAATACTAATGCTGGTCGAAGGCTGGAGATCTAGCTCAGTGATAATGTGCTTGCTTAGCATGAGCAAGCCACTGAGTACAATCCTCACAGCATTGGCAAAGAAAAATCACTAGTTTAAAACAGGAAATTGCTAGAAAGAATGAAAGGTAGCAAGCAAGCAAAGATGTGGGTAAGACTCAAGAACCAAAACTAAGATTTGGCATCTGGCTACAAAAAACAAGGACCATGCCCCTTCTCAAAGCACCAGACCTGATTCCTCCAGGATCCACAGGGAGTGCACTCTTGAGTCTTGAGCAGAGAGTATACTTTTCATTCATCAATACAGAGCATCTCCAATTTTCTTGGGAATATTTGAATCACTTTAATTGAATGAAAGACTTTTACAATCTTCTAAGTCTCTGGTCTTGATGAGAACTCGGCTCCTGAAGGCTTTCACTTTTAGCCTTTCTCCTCTCTGGCTCTGCTGATAGATACAGGCACACAAAGTAAACACAATAAAAGGAGAACTGTGTGCATGGCTCATGGACCTGGACAGAGTGGTTAAATTAAATAAAGAGGTTGGCAAAGTTGAGCTTCCCCTAACATTTCTAGTACCTAGCTATCTCCATTTGTCCTAAACTAGGAGTCATCAGAGAACACAGTGCATGGTGGGCATTTAGGAATTATTTGGAGAATCATATTCTCTTATGATAAAATGGTTTTAAACTATTCTGCAACAAAAACTAATTGTGGGACTCATCTGACTTAAATATGTTATGCCTTTTCCTTTAAAAGTGACTCAAGCTCCAAAGAATACTGGGCCCAGGGATATTTTGCCTGAACCTCTGTAACTGCTCTCCTAAAGCTCGGATAATCTTGGCTCCCAGGTAAGAAAGAGATGAGTTTGCAAAGCAACGTCCCCTGGAATTCTAGTCCTTTCACTGGGCCTTAGTCAGCATTCCAGGTAATAACTTATGGAAACTACCATTTTCAAATTGGGCTTCCTTTAAAAACAAGTAAACTATAAATATTAAAATGTATCAGTGTCACCAATAAGAAAACTACCTCTCTACATTCTTTAGTAATTTCTGGAACAAGTTCTTTATCCTAAATATTTTTAATCCTCAGGTAGATATGGACTTGGAAAAACCAAATATTGTCACTGGCCCATGGTAACTTCAGATTTGAGCATACAAACCTAAATTTTTATTTATTTATTTATTTGGTATCAATGATCGAACTCACAACTTCGCACTTGCAAGGCAGGTACTTGTGCTGCTGAGCTAAACCCCCAGCCCAAATATCAATATTTATTCATGAGGTTTTCTCAGTTCTCACGTTTAAACTCTTTATTTTGCATCATTTTTAATTAGGAAAAGATTGCTAATATAGTAGATCTTTTTCGTTGTTGGGCTTCAAGAAGTCTTTAAGAGAAAACTTCTTTTAAAAAAAAAAAAGGAAAAGCCTATAAAATGTCAGGGAAATGAAGCTCCTATAATTTTATTCTCAAATTTTGCCTTTTAAATGTAGCTTTTCTACCCGCAGTTCCGTGAAAGATGGTTTCCTTATTGTCATTTATTAGCAATGACAGGCAGCAACACTTCTCTCAGATAGAGTCTCCCTTCACCACAATTATCTAGTAATGCCTGCAAGGCAAAAGGCTGCTCAAAACTTCTTCCTTCCAGAATGCTTTTCCCAAAGGCAACAGTTCAAAGCAAACCTCTATTAACTGGAACACTGACATTTGCAGAATTCTCTGGACAGGACAATTCTACTACTCCTGGAGTGATATCAGAAACTAAGACATAATTACCTGCAGTCCAGTCACCAGGAAATCAGCTCAGCAATACAGTTCAAAGGTGGAGGCCTTATATACCCACACTGACAGCATTACCAGCCCATAAACAACCGAACCACAGCCTGTCACTGTACACACATCCCTGTTAGAAGAATCCTTTCCTGTGAAACTAACCCAAAAAGGAAAAAAAAAAGAAATTTTTTTTTGCTAAAATTCAGTGTAGGAAGCTGAGACAACATATATAAAATAGTATCAAAACTAAATAGATTAGATGCACCATTGGCTAGTTAGAACCTAAACAAAATGTGACATAAAAATTATACACTCCTTATTAACAGGACTCACAACTTAATAACTTGCAGCAACATAAAAAAATTTTTATCTTTAATATTCTTTACTGATTCATATCTTCTTTTGTTTTATGCATTTTGGAACAAAATGAAGGCAAGGAATTTCAAGGAGAAAAGAGAAAACACAGTGAATAAGCTTAACAGGGCAGCAGCGGATGGACTTGGGGACTGAAGCATAATGGCAGGGAGGAACCTGAGACTTTTCTAGCCTGAAGAGAAGCAGAAAACCTTAGGCTGAATGATAAAAACACCTTTTCTAATACATGAAATCTGGTTTATATATAAAGTATCATGCAGCTTGGAGTAATGGTGCTTCCATGTCTAGAATCCCAGGTACTTGGGAAGCTAAGGAATAGCACACATTTAAGGCCATTTGGGCAATTTAGCAGGACTCTGTCTCTGTTTTAGTTACTTTCTTCATTGCTGAGACAAAATATTTGACAACCAAAGTTAAAAGAGGAAAAGTTTATTTGATTCACATCTTGTAGATGTTTCAATCCATAATTGTCTGGGTCCTAGGCAGAGAAATACTCCATGGCAAGTAGGCAGGCAACAGCACATTAGCCTGCTGTCTGTCTCTTGTATTTTATGCAGGCTACCCAGCCTACTCACACCTTTAATCCTAGCCAGATCTATGCCAAGGCAATCAGCGAACTGACTGCATAATCAGATACCCTTGATCCCAGCATCACACATTCTAGATCTAGCCAGCTCTTGAAAGGCAGCCTCATGACTGCATAAGGTTTTCAGGGTCATCTAGATACAAACCATTAACAGTCTCAAAATTTTTAAAAAGAGCTTCCAATGCAGCTCAGTTGCAGAGCACCTGCCGAGCATACATGAAGCCCTGGATTCTACCCAAGTAACATAAATATGACAACCAAAAAAAAAGCAGCATTCATCCTAGGTAAACACATAGCATTAGTATCTCAGAATGTTCTCTAAGCATTAAAACTACATAATGTGCTTCACAGAAATAATAAGACAGAAACAGAATTAAACATGTAATTGTTATAAACATAAACATACTTTGGTGTGGTAAATTTTATTAAGATTTTAATAATATTGGCAAGGAGCCAAATCATAAAATGTCCTAGAACATGGAGTACAAAACTTTAGACAAAATAAAAATTTCCAAAAATATAAAGGCATTACAAAAAAAAAGTAGTAAGTTTTAAGACAAAGAAACCATTTTCTCAACAAAGGTAGCAAGCATATTTAGGGTGACATTTGGGTAAATGAAGGCACAATGCCAGTACAAATAAACTTCCAGCACCAATATACCTGGAATAAACCGCCTCCAGGTGGGCGCAATCTCTTACAATTCACTTGCTGGGGATAGGAATTAATTTACTTTCTGGTTATAGAGCACCCTTGGAAATGAACTACGTTGGCATGTAGAGGGAGCAACCTGTTTTCAGGCAGTAGAAGCAGCAGAAGTGGGGGATGCCCAATACCTCCCACCTAAGCAATCCCAGCTGCTACCACAGCAGGGCACGGTCTGGGGTAGCAATGAGACAAGCTGTGTCCTTTGGGAACAATTCATTACTCAGATAAACTAAATGTAACAGCTCCATTTGACCAACAAACCAAAAATAAGAGGCCAAATCAACAGGGGTCCCCACCCCCAGAGGGATAATGTGCCACTACCCAGCATGTAACAGGATAGCAGGAACAGAGGAAATATTCCTGGTTCAATGGTGCTGATCATCTGTCAGGACAGATGTGCCATCCGATCTAGGTTTTCTGGGTGGGTGGGTAGGGGCTTCCCTCAACTCTGCAGCAAATATTTTAATGCTACTGTCACTTGGGTGCCATTTTTTTCCCTTAGGGTACTACATGTCATGCTTCATTTGGGCCAGATGTGCACATCAGTGTGCCTGCAATACCCACTAAGAACTCACACAATTATTTATGCATCCTTCCAGCACACACATAGAAGTGGCTGTTGAAATGTAGTGGATGACAAAGGGGTAATGTTCTTCTGCAGATAACCAGTATTCCAACAAGGTCACGAGGGAAAAGACACTCTTACTCCTGCCTTGCATGTCAGGCCTTCTGCAGGTTCCCTTATTTCCAACTCTAAATCATTAGTTTAAACAGATGTAGATTCCATGTGACAGGAGGGACAGTAAGCGAGATTTGAGATTTTTACATTCTTTACTGTGTCTACCTGTGCTGGGCTATTAAAAAGTTATGTGCAATTTTAAGATGAAAGGCATTAGCAGCTTCTTAGAAGAGAAGAGTCCCAAACTTTTGTAGATTTAATGAAATCGAACTCACTGAAGCTTCTGACTTGGTCGGCTGTTAATTGAATCAAAGTCAATGACAATCTTGCTGCACCTGGGTAGGAATTTCCTAAACATGAAAACAACAAATATAAGCATATTATCCAATGAGTAGCTAAAGCAATTTGTTTAATCGGGCTTAAACTATACTTTCTGTGCAGAGAAAAAAAAAAGTTCTGCTATTTGCTTGACATTTTATCTCTATAGGCACCAATTATTGTGCACCATACCGAGAGAAACAGGGAAAAGAAAAGACTAGGACAAAAAAGATGCATGGGGTAGCTTGGTGTATATGTTCTTCAGCTATCTGAGTTTATGACTTATCCAGGAATCAAAGGATTTCTAACAAGTTAGCTGCACAACATGGTATCTGATTACTTGTTTTCCCATCAGATTTATCTTATTTTCTAGGAAATTTCTACAGCCAACTTGAAGTTGCTCCAACACAAAAGATAAAAACAAGCAGCGTTAGCAAGGAGTTAGTTCTTAAAATTATGTTCTAAAAATGAAAATGTTTTTGCAGTCATTAACCTTTTATTCACTACTTACTATTATTTCTATAAAAAGTTGAGACTATATTTTTAAAAATCAATCAAAAAGAGTATGTAAATAACTTGGATTTAAGATCTCATAAAGCACGAGTCGAAAAGATTTATCCCATAAAATCCTAATAACATAAGGGGTGAGGCATGTAACCCAATGTAACAGTCCTGACATTGCTGACCATAAATACCATAAAGTTTTCCAGGCTCAAAAGAATTTTCTGCCATTAATCAAATATAGTAGAACTTACTTGTAAGTAAAACATACCATAAAAATCTTTGTTAAGTAAAGACAATCATAAAAATCCAAGAGTCCTACGTTCAGTTTTAAATGTTTTTCTAAAAAACGGCTGCATTCATCTGAAATTGTCTATGCCAGAGTTGTTATATTTGCAAAATTTATAAATTTTTCAATTTTATAAATTTATAAAGCATCACTACTACATTTGTAAATTTTAAAATTTCTTGATACTTGAATAATTAATCTAAACTGTGGAAAGTTATTAAAATATAATCATTAAAGAGACTGTCTTCAGATATTTTTATCAATACTCCTACAAAAACTACCCCTAGAATAATGCTTAATTATGCCATCACATTTCCAGAGGAACTTCCCAGTGTGAAAGTCAGGCATCAAGAGGGAGAAATTAGATATCAAATAAGGTCATGCATATATCTGGATCTACCCTTCAAACTACACATTCCTCTGAGTTCTCCCAACTTACCTGAATGTAACCCCAGCCATCTCAAACATGAGCCTTGCAGCTGTTGTCTCATCACTGTCATGATATTTATCGGACATGAAAATAACTTCTTTTATACCTTAAAAGGCAGCAATGGAAGCCCCATTAGTAAATGCATATACACAGGTATTGCAAAAGAAAGAAGCAGACGGAGCCCTCATAGTGTCCATAATTAATTACTTTTTCCAAGTGCACTTGCAGACAATGTCCAGTTACTGAAATATGTATCTGCTGCTTTCTAATATAGCAGACGGTGGACTATATTTAATCTGCCCTCCAGCCTTTATGGATTTTTTTAAGCAAATGCAAAGTAAAAACATGTCAAAGCAGTCAAGCCTTAATCTGATTAACAAATTTTCTTCTTGTAGGTAAGCAAATATTCTTTATGCACAAGGCAAACACTTGAAGGGTTGATGGGGCAAGTAGAGGGTGCTGGCCAACTCAGAGATTAGCATGGCTATACTCCCCAGAGGGGCTCTGCAAACCAATCTGGCCCAGCCCTATAGAGTGCATCTGCTTTCTTTTTATCTCACCAAACAGCAGCAATAACTTGACAGCTGGGCGTTTCGAGTGCTCTGCACTAAAGGTAGCTCCTCTACTAGCTTCAGAAGGGATCTGGAAGCTGGCTGCACAGAGCACAGGCTATTCAGTGCCCAAGCCGACTACCGCCTCAATGTCCATGGATGGCAGAAGAAACATCCCAAAGGATTCAGTGGCAGTAGCCGCGTGGGAGCTCAGGCCGTTTCTTAAGGGCAGTTTCTGCTTTGCTGTCAGCAGACCTCTTCTGGTCTGAGATCCACTGGGTTTGTGATAAACAGCCCCTTTAAACCACACATCTGGCTAAACATGCTAAGTCTTTAAATCTCAAGCTGAGAGCTTTATGGAGATAAAGTATAGCTGAATTGTAGATGCTGACAGTCTGAAAAAGGTGAAATATTCAGAACACAATGGTGTGGATTTATGGTAACTGTAATATAAGAAAAACTTGGAGTGCTACCATTTCAGTCTGATGACATTTACATGCAAAGATAGGCAAGAACCTCAACTATCTACCATGTATTAGATACAAATTAAAATTTGATATAGGCTCCCAGCTGACCTTGTTTCTGACAGAAGTTCATTTCCCTTCCTCCCCCCTAATCTATGCACAATATGTCAGAGAATGGTAAATTGACAGTAATTATATGCAAAGCCTGTGTTGTTTTTTGGCAGCTTGCAGTTTAAGAAGTTGCAAACTAAATTAAAAACATGCTAAGAATCACAGAGGATGCAATTAGTCTTAGAATACCTGGCACCATCCAAAAACAAAAAGCAAGAAATATCTTACAAAGTTGATCCTGCAATTAATTTAGATTTAAACAATAACAATTTAGGATCAAACACATCTGCAATGAGCTACTGATGAGCAGGCAGCAATGCAAATGTGACAGTTGGAAAGGGCTGTTTCCTACCTGCCTGGATGATGAGCTTAGCACATTCATTACATGGGAACAAGGCGACATACATGCTACAGCCTTTCACGTCGGCCGAATTCTTGTTCATAATGGCATTCAGCTCGGCATGGCACACTGAGTTTGAAAGGAAGGGAAAAAAACTTAAGACTGCATCTCATGAAGAATTTACCAAGTGTTAAGTATTTTGTTCCCCTCTCTGAAATAACATGTAATAGACTCAAAAAAACAAATTGATTAGAAAGTCAAGTACTGAGAATACCACGTGAGGGCCATATCATCTGACTGGGTTGGTGATTACTGGGGAAACTGTTCACCCCAGCAGCCCCTGGTCTCTAAGTACCTAGAGCAGCCAGGAGGGGCTAAGGTCAAGTTCCTTCACCCACCCTAAGCAGAGCAATAGCTCATTGCTCCACAAGACCCTGGGGTATTGAATTGCCCACATAAAATGGCTCATTTGTGTGTTGATATGCACACACAGGGATATTCAGTGTGGCCATTAACAGGGTAAGGAGCAATAAGAGCAAGAGAATCATGAAGTGAAGCTGAGCATTTCTATCCTGAGGGATCTGCTTCACCTCACCATTCTTGGCACTGATGCACAAAGAAAAATACCAGCAGACATCCAGCAGTTTGTTGTTCATAAAAGAAACATTTCTCCACTTCATGGCAACCAATAGTTAAACTCTTGAAATACTGGCACGTTTCACTAATGATACCAGGTCATCCCCAGGCTTGCCTGAGTTTGAGGTCAGAGGAAGAACCTCCTCTGTCCTACATCTGTCAAAGCTGACCCCTCTCCCAGCCCAGTCTGGCCACCAACCATAGGATATTTCCCCCCTGGAGGGAATCAGGACTCTAGCAGAGACCTACTTCTGCTCATCCTGCTAGGTGAGGTTTCTATATCTCTGTATTGTTATTAAATTTCTGGCTGTGCTATCTAAAACTATATTATATACTCCGTATGTAAGAACTCAACATTTCCCTGGAGGAGCTTCCAAAATACTACACTTCTGTGTCCCATCTGGGAAGTATGATATTGTGGAGTATGGCAGAAATTTTTTTAGGGACTTCCTAGTAATTCAAATGCACTTAAACAAGTTTAGGAGGCACTGCCTTGTAAGATTTCCTGGTCTCCCCAACTCATACTTAATGCACACACGTGCTAAAATATTTGTTCAATAAATTAATGAATATCTGGATATGGCCCAAAACTCCTTGAATATAACATATGGGACCTTAAGATCCTCCCTACCCTTTCCCACCACCAACCGTCCACACTAGCTGTGTACCTTTTCAGTTCTCACAGACATGCATGACCCCATACACATCTAGCAGGACTGCCTCTGCAATCAGCGTACACTTACTAAGAACCTACTCTGGGTGAGGTAAGTGAAGGCCTCGGGCCACCTTTTTCCGCCAGCCGGTCTGGGGTGTTTGTATTCTGCAGCAGCTTGGTAATGCTGCAGGTAAGAAAGCCAACCAAGAAGCGGGGTGTGGTGGCTCATGCCTGTAATCCTAGCACTCAGGAGGCTGAGGCAGAAGGATCACTGCAAGTTCAAGGCCAGCCTGGGCTACAAAGTGAGTTCAAGGCCAGCCTGAACTGCAGAGTGAAACCCCTGTCTCAAAAAGACAGAAAGAAAAGAAAAAAGAAAGTCAACCAAGAGCTCTCAGAAAATGCAGTACATACTTACATCCTTATTTTAAGGAGTAGCATGTTTTGAGAGGTCTCAGTCAAGTGTGAAAACGAACTGAACAGTGTCTGGCACTGCAGGGAATCTAAAGGAACAAGCTGCACCTAATCAGACGATGGCCCATCAGCAAATAAACCTGGGTGGCCACACAGGGACCTCAATAACATCCCAAAGATTAGTGGTCTGAAAAACCAGCAGGGCTAGAGGAGGATAAGGACAGAGAAATGTGCAGAAAAGGCAGCAAGGCCATGTGGGCGCTGGCCTTTTCCCCTGATGATCAAGATGGTCCACAAGTGGGCATTAACACTGCTTGATGATAAAAACAATTAGAAGTAATTGTTTCTTTTATTTCCCCCCAGAGGGCAGAGTGCCCAGTCTTCTAGTTCTTTGTAACTCCCCCAGAGTCCAATTCAATCCACGATCCTAATGGGTGTTAAATATTTATTGAATGAATAAAAGAGAAAATGTAGATTCCAATTATTGATGGTGACGTTGTTAAGAAATATTAGAAGTCCTCTTAAATTCACACATCAAAAAATAGCCTTTTCCATCTAATAAATATCTTTAAGGCATTATAAAACACTATCTGATGTCCTCTTTTGAATCTCAAAGAATTCTCACACTGGTGATGTTCTCTAATTCATCTAGGTAGTCTGGAGCAAATTTAAAATCACAGGTCTGGATTCATGAAAACTGCTGTATGAAACAAATTCTCTTGCACAGTATCTGTTGTCCTTGTGTACATTACATATAGTATTTATAAGGTAATCTATTTATAAGATAATCTACATAGTCAAAAAGGATTTAGTTTCCAATTTTACCTAGAATTATGTATCTATGGCTAAGCAATAAGAAATCTCCACATAACACATGTGGTATTTCACAGGCACAAAGAGCTACATAAAACCTTTCAATTATTCCCAACATTGTTTAAAAGGACAAGAATCACATAGTAAAAATTAATGCTTATTAAGTTCTTGATTGCCAGAGGAGTACCTCTGTTTCAGGTAATTATAAGATAATTAATGTACTTTGGTTGGTCTGTCTTTCCTTCTTCTTCCTCCTCTTCCTTCTGTTTCTATTCATCCTCTTCCTCCTTTTCTTCTTTCTCTTTCTCCTCTTCCTCCTCCTTCTTTTTCTCCTTTTTGTCCCTTTTATTACTGGCTGTCAGAATTCAGAACTGTATTAACCTTGGACCACTGAGAAGAGACTGTATAATTAGAAAACTGTATTTTTCAAATTCTCTTACAGAGGCTTGATTAATCCTCACTGTCTCATCTGTAGGCGGTTCTCTAGAAGTTTGACAAATTAACAGGATATATTCTATCCTTTGTTGGATTTAAGAGATTCAAATTTTACAGATTTGATTTCCATTCCATCTGATAAAAACTAATACAATGTCTATTTTACACAGTTGTACCTCTAAGGCAACTCAAGTTAAAAAACAAAACAAAACGCTGAAGAATGCTAAACAAATTCTCATTACTACAGAAAGATTTAGCCATCAGACTTTACCCACAACTGATCTTCATCTGATGAAATACAACAGAAAATATCAGGACGTGATATAATTCAGATTCAGGTAAACTTTCTATTCCAGTAAAAGTAACTCAAGATTGTTTAAAATCATTTCATTTTTAATGGCACAGTATTTTATTTGAAGAAAATGATAGCCTCAGGCCCAAAGGGTATTCTATCAGGGCTGACCTGAAAAGGTAGATAGCCCTGTCCAGTGGCTCTTAGTAGAGTCAGGGTTAGAAGACAGACACACAGTACCGCTTGTCACTCAGAGCAGCTCCACCCTACCTCCTTCCACTCCAGTCTAAATCAACAATGCATGTAAAGGAGGATTCACCACAACACTAGTCAAGACTTAAAGAGCCAGGAAACTTCTAATATGAAAAAGACAAAGTCACCCTTCATTCTTTCCACTGGTTTCTCATTCTGCAATTAATAACTGATATGAAATGGGGTTTCCAAATTAAAGGCTGGTTGGTGGATTAAAGAAAACAAAACAAAACTCAATATTAATTTATAAGATATCCCACTTCTATTTTGGTAACAAGGCCTTTCATATCGTTACTTCTTCAAATTAGAATCCCAGTCTTCAGGGATCCTACAGGTGTCAGTAAATCTGAACACACCTTCATGAGCACGGCACCCGAGCTCCCAGCCTTATTGTCCAACAGACACTGATGGAAATTCTGCTGGGGGGAAGGGGTGTGCAGTCACTCCTTTTACAGAGCCATTTAAGGAACTGCTTCATGGCTCCTAGAACTAGAATGGAATTTCAACTACTTATTTCTTAATTATTGAAAGATATTCTGACAAGGTTTCATATGTCACTGCCAGCCTCCCAAGTACCTGTCCTTCACGTTAGCAATTTAATAAGACTAGCCTCTAAATTTAAGGCCCCTAACTTCAGTCACCCCAAAAGTCCCTTAAAGGTTATAAAGTATTCACTTTTATTTGTACTTCAAAATCTACAGAAAAAATTATAGCATGTAGCCCCAAATAATGTCACTCCCTCTACCTCATCTCCCTCTGCTGTTTTTACATCTGTGTCTCTCATGTGTCTGGTAGAGTAGCAAGTTGATTATCAGGGTTCTCAAATGATTTGAAATACAGGTGGACTGAGGAAAAGGAGAACTAATTCAAAATCATTCATTACACCTCTTCCGCAAAGCCACTCAGCCAGTCAGGCCCCGTATGTCACATCTCATTCTTAGCCTCTGTTTTCCACTCTTCTTTCTCCTTCCCCTCTTCACTGCCAACTTCTTGGAGCATCCCAAAGCTGTTTCACTGCATTTTTTTTTTTTTTTTTTTTTTGGTACTGGGAATTTAACTCAGAACCTTGCATTTGCCAAGCAGGTGCTTGTGCTGCTGAGCTATATATTCCTGGCCCAGCCATTTCACCCTAACAACTCTGCAGACACAACTCTGAAAGAAAAACAGATTAAAACTTTGAGCATTTTCCGTATGTTTCGATAAATTCTAGCCACACACACTGTCCCTCCAAGGTCAAGTACTCACAGGGTGAGCACACACACTACCAGCCAGAAGATCAGGCAAAGCTACACACAGGACAACAAACTGCTGAGAAAAATTCAGCATATGAAGGGGTAAATGCATTGTGCACAGGTGGACGGGTAACTAGATCTTCAGGTAATATTGTCTCTGCAGGAAAATGTTTTTGGATTACAAATGTCTTTTTACTTTTTGGGGAGGGGGGGTAACGGGGATCGAACTCACGACCTTGAGCTTGCCAGGCAGACGCTTACATCGCTGAGCTAAATTCCCAGCCCTACAAATGTCTTTTAAACAAAGAGGGTGAAACCGTGGGATTTGACCACACAAAAATAAAGTTTTATTCAAGTCCCAGGCTCTCTAGCTACAAATACAGGATTATAGAAAGAACACAAG